GGTTTAGGGTTTAGGGTTTAGGCTTCAGGCTTTAGGGATAGGGTTTAGGGTTTAGGGTTTAGGGTTTAGGTTTAGGTTTAGGGTTTAGGGTTTAGGGTTTAGGGTTAGGGTTTAGGGTTTAGGGTCTTGAATCGAAAAAATTGCACAATGAACATACTGTTCCACATTATTTTTTGGATGAATACCCTTGCAAACTATTCATGGATTTACAGCACAGCCTGGAGATGACTGAGCCCAATGACTGTTTCTGCCTGGTAGGAACCCACTTCACCTGAAATTTGGTAAGGCACCAAAACACTCATTCAAGAAACAACAAGCCCAGTGATAGTGATGCGTACCGAAAACCCTCAACCCCAATCCTTAAATCTGGAGCACGTTGGGTGCGTCTCCGCGTTTCCAGGGTCCTGAAAGCCAACACTTCGGGATTTAGGGTTGGTCTTCATTAACCTTGCAGGGTCTAAGAACTCACATTTTAAGGCTTTTGGGCCTAAAGCCCCTACTATGTAAGGCTTTTGGGCTATTTTGAGCATTAGGGGAAGCTTTGCGGTCAAATATTAAGGCTTCCGTGACAGAGCAAGCGAGCCTTTTTACTAGTGCTAGGAGATGGTAGGAGTATACAAGCCCACGCATTTACATGCTGCGTGCTCATCGAAATCATCGACTTAGTTCAGCGCTCGGTTCTTAAACTCAAGCTTGAGGTGCTCAGGATCAACTCCTAAACCTGTAACCCTTAACCCTAACCCCCAACCCTAATCCTTAAACTTCTTGTAACCCTTGGACTAAGAACCTCCAAACACACAAAACCGTCAAGCTCGAGGGTTGGCTCTGCAAGGCCTGGGTGAGCCTAGACACCTACAGTGGTACCAGTATCTAAAGCCTAGCGACAATGATCATAAGGATTTGGGGTTTAAGGGTCAAGGCCTATACCCCTAAAGCCTAAACGATACTCCGTTTTAAGCCCTCAAGTTATGCAGATGCTGCAATCAAGTGCTGAGGGCGCATCTCTCGGCATCGCACTCCACATAGAAAACGTATCCGCGCATGCCTGCGGCAAGGGAGCCACCGGACGTTCCAACCTCTGTTGCACTCCCAGTCCCGACCCGGAACGCTACATGTCTGACCTGCGCACCCAAAAATCCGAAGCCCTAAAATCCTAAACCCTCAACCCCTAAAACCTTAAACCCTTAAACCCTAAACCTTCAACCCTAAACACCTGACGAAGTTGCTCTTGCACCCCAAGCTCCTGCATAGAAGATACCCGGTAAACCGAATCAGCAATCCCACAAAGCAGATGAACCCAGCTATCAATCTCTGAAGGGCTGAGTGCCCTAGCCCAAAAAACGGTTAACCTTTTCAATTGTGGCAGGATTTATACAAACCCCAAAACGTTAAAGGTTACCTACTCAGCTGCTAAGATCTTCGCGGCAAGGGCCGGAAAGGACTTCTAAGTGTATTGTTAGAGGCGGATTGTCATGCGTTTCCTTGACTCCCGACTCAGTCAAATTGGGTACCCGAGCTCGATGCGGTAGCAACTCCTGTAATCTGTTAACCTCATACGACTCCAGTGCACAGCTCTCAGACGCATAAGGATGCAAAAAATGGAACCACCAAAAAGCCATCCTACGCATATATGCCTCAAGAACCCATTGCAAACTCTCTGAGCACTCAACCCTGAACCCCTAAACCCTCCTCGCCCCCTCTGCCACGTGGTGGAGTGTCTGGCTTGTTCTTCACTCCCCTTGGTCGCCCTTTGGGCCTGCCTGTGGAGGGGCCTTGCGGCTTCAGGGCTGAAAATTTTGGTGGCAGGACCAACGAGCCATCCTCCAAATGACAACGAGCGAAATGCTCTGTCATGCCGCTTTGGCTGAAATCCTGGTGCCATGTGGGCGTCACCTTGCCGATACAGGACAGTAAACTGACCGTATAATTTTCGCAGGATCCGTGGATGGAAATGCTCACCATCTGCTTCGTCGGTGAGTGCCCCAATCCCACGGAAGCAATTATCCACTGTGGTGGCATCGCTTGCTGTTTCCAATGTGGCCAACAACTCCATCTGCTTTTCATCGTAGTCCTCCGGATCATATTTGCACCAGACGGAGGCTGCTTCCCCACCTGCCTCCAGACGGACCTTGGTGCCGGCCTCCAACAGCCGCCGCAATCCAGCAACACTCATGCGGCGGACTTGCCTGGAAGCCAAATGCTCCAGACGTTCACTGAGAACGTTGGGCACATTGCCCAGTATGGCATCGGTGCATACGGTGGAAATGGCCAAATTCACGTCCCGCCACTTTCCTTCACTTTCAAATATCAGGCCACAGTGCTCATACTTCGAGATCACCTCCGTCAGGCGTAGGGATGCCTCATCGGGAACATAGGCATCCAGGACTTTGAAGAACGAGTCCACGGCATTGAGGGCATATGGCCCGTAGCCTGGCTCCAACGGGCCTGCTCTCCAAGATGACGTCCACTGCCCTCCGGATTTCCGCAATATATCTTGTGCCACGTATGATTCGAAGGCACTTTCGTCATGCCGGCGAAGAATGGCCAGTGCATGATGCCAGTAACGATCAAACACACAATCATTGCGAAAGAAAGCACTGAAAGCCACCCACCGTTGCACTGTCACCCACCACCTCGTGTGCTTCAATTTCTTCACGCCCTCCTTGTTGATGTTCCTCTTGACATGCTCCAAGCAGGGTTGACCCAAAGTACTCTTGGAAACCTTTCACCAAGCCTGTTCCCCAATCCAAATGAGCAACTTTGGCATTCTTCAATGTGGTCCCACATTTGTCTTTGAGAAAGCTGTCTGCGCTCGCTAACAGGAATTTGGTTGCAACGCTGCCTTCTGACACAGCCACGGCAAAGGCCAGGGGCACAAATGTATTGCGGACCATGTGGTTCTCGGCATGCTGTGCCAACCAGCCAAGAGCAAAAAGTTTGACCTTTCCGGGATTTTAGGGTAGCTCCCTTAAAGGGGTTCCTACAAAGTGCCCTTAAGCAGTTAGGGTCCCAACTTAAGGATCTGCATTTTCAAACCCCCTACACCCTAAACCCCTAAACCCTAAACCCCTAAACCCCCAACAACCCTAAACCCCTAACAACCCTAAACCCCTAAACCTCTAAACCCTAAACCCTAAACCCCTAAACTATAACCCCTAAACCCTCAACCCCCAAAGCCCCCGTTTCTGCGCCCCACCTGACCCTTTAGGGCGGCACTGGAAGCAAATGCCGGCGCAGCCCGGACCTGGTAGATGGAGGCATTTTTTTAAGGGCTTTAAAGGTAGGGTTTAGGGCTAGGGTTAGGGTTTAGGGTTTAGGGTTTAGGGTTTAGTGGAGTTTTGAAAGGGCTTTTGAGGACTTTTAGAGTTTTACAAAATGTTTTTTGGGTGTTTTTGGGGGGTTGGAGGTTGGGTTTAGGGCTTTTTTGGGGTTTGGGGGCTTCAGGGTTTTAGAGTGACGGTTTAGGGCTTTAGCGGTCTAGGGTTTTTGGGGTTTAGGGGTTTAGACTGTAGCGAATTAGGGTTTCCGGGTTTAGGGGCTTCGGCTTTAGGGTTTAGGGGTTTAGGTCGTTAGGGCTTTAGGGGCTTAGGGATTGGGGTTTAATGCTTCAGGGGTTCAGGGGTTATAGGGTTAATGTGTAATTTAACGGTCTAGGGTTCGGGGTTTGCTTGTTCTCAATGGTTTTTCGGGTTTAGGGTCACCCTAAACCCTAAACCCTTAGGGTTTTGTGAGGGGTTTTACCATTGCAGGATTTGGACTTTACACTGAGGTCGCAGAAACCGCAGTTGCTCTTCAGACCGCTACCGTTGCTTTAGGCTTCGGGCTTCAAGCACGGATCTCACGACTTTATATACACTGGCCCAACCTCGCCCCTAAACCATAAGCCCTAAGCCCCAAACCCTAAACCCTATAAACTCGAAGCCGATAGAAGGAAGAATGGAATTATCGACTGAAGGGACTCCGATTGTTGGAAAACAGAGGACCCGCCACCTTAAGGCAGTCTTAATCAAGAGGCCTGAATTATAGTTAGAATAGGGTTTTGGGGCCCATTATACTATATATTATA